ATTATGGACGGATGCAGATATAGAAGTTAGTTCATGAAACTAATAAAATTAATATTAGGATAGGATCTTGGAATATATGTGCTCTCAATGATAAATTAATGGTATTAGTTGATATTATGATTCATAGAAAGATTAATATCTTTGTATTCAAGAAACTAAATGGGTTGGAGAAAAGACTAATTAGATTGATAAATTAGGTTTTAAAGTTTGGTATTCTGGTAAGAGTCGCACTAGAAATAGTGTAGGTGTAATTATAGATAAGAGATTGAAAGATAATGTTGTAAAAATTAATAGAGTTGGAGATATAATTATAGCTCTTAAGATTATCATTGATACAAAGATTTTTAATATTGTAAGTGCTTATGCTCCTCAAGTAGGTTTAGATATAGGGTCTAAAGATAAATTATGGAACGACTTAGAAGACTTAATACAAATGATACCTCTTGAATAAAAAATTTTTATTGGAGTAAATTTAAATGAACATGTCAGTAGAGTGATAGAATATTTCAGAAATATTCATGGTGGCTACGATTTTGGAGTGACTAATAAAGAAAATAGAGCTATTTTAGATTTAATAGAGCTATTTCTATTTTAGATTTTGCTTTAGCATATGATTTTGTTATTACTAATATTTTATTAAAGAAAAGAGTAAGAATTATATTACTTATAATAATGGATCTTATAAAACACAAATTGATTTTTTTCTTATAAGAGGAAGAGATCGTCGAGATTGTCAAGATTCTAAGATCATTCCAAATGAGGATTTAAGTACCCAGCATCGTTTATTAGTTCTATAGATTTTAAGATGAAGAGTTAGTAAAATAAAAAATACTATGACTCATCATTGTAGAATTAGATTGAGGAATCTAAACGATGCAAGTAAAATTATTTTTTATGAGTAAAATTCAAGATTTCAAAAATTGGGATGTTCATGATGAAACTAATGCTATGTGGGATAAAGTAACAAATACTATTAAACAAGTAGCAAAAGATGTACTTGGAGAATTAAAAGAAATTTTTTTTGAAAAAGTTTTTTTAAATAAAAAAGAAATTTTTTTTTTAAATAAGAATAGTTGGTGGTATAATAATAGTTGTGCAAGAGAAGATAAAATATAAGAAGTTATGTTATAAAAATTGGTTTAAATGTAAAAGCTTAGAGAACTGAGAAAAAATATCAAACGACCCGCAAGAAGTCTAAAAGAACAATTTGTGATGCTAAAAATTATGCTTTTAATGATCTTTATAATATATTAGATATTAAGGAGGGTGAAAATATATGTATAAATTAGCCAAACAAAGAGAAAAGAAAAATAAAGATTTAACTTAAATAAAGCGTAATAAAGATGAAAGATAAAAAAGTGTTTTTCTTATAAAAAGATATTCAACATAGGTGGGTGAGTTTTTTTATAAAGTTTTTAAAAATACGATCGACCTTTTTGATTTTAATATCGTTAATAATAATAAAACGTTTCATTTTTATCGATGCATTAGTAAAAAAGGAATTGAGGAGACTTTAAAGAAAACTAAGGGTAGAAAGTTTGTAGGACCTGATGATATCTCAATTGAAGTATGAAAATATTTAGGAGATTTGAGAGTGAGATTTCTTATTAAACTCTTTAATATTATTTAAAAACTAAAAAGATACATGAGGAGTGGAGGAAGAGTATTTTGGTCTCCATTTTTAAAAATAAAAGGGTTGCACAAGAGTGTGCAAATTATAGAGGAATTAAGTCGATGTGTCATACTTTAAAATTATGGGAGAGGGTAATTGAATATAGGTTAAGATGTATTACAAAGATTTCTCATATTCAATTTAGATTTATGCCAGACAGATCTACCATGGAAGCTATACATTTTTTGAGAGGTTTGATGGAGAAGTTTAGAGATAATAAGGAGAATCTAAATTTGATAATTTGATTTTTATCTAAATTTGATTTTTATTGATTTAGAAAAAGCTTACGATAAGATTCCATGAAATATCCTTTGGAGAGTTCTTGAGAAAAAATGTTTTGATATTCAAGTCATTAAAGATATGTATACTAGAGCTCTTACTTGTATTCAAACTAAAGGAGAATTGACCAAAGATTTTTCTATTTCGGTTGGATTACATCAGGGATCAACTTTAAGTCCATATCTTTTTGGCTTTAGTTATGGATGGTCTCACTGGGCATTTACTGATTTGCCTTGGTGTATGTTTTTTGTTGATGATATCCTTCTCGTGGATAAGACGAGAAAAAAAGCCCAAGAAAACACTTGAATTATGGAGGTCTACATTGGAGTCTAATGACCTTCATTTTAGTAGAACTAAAACTGGATACATGAAATATAATTTTAGTAGTAGTAGCTCTAGTGACAAAAGTATAACTTTGGGTGATCAATTTATTAAAAGGTGTGAGCGATTTAGATATCTCGGGTCTATTGTTCAAAGCGATGGTGATATAGATGAGGATGTTAATAGTAGAATTCATATTTGTTGGTTGAAGTGTAGGAATGCTTCGGGCCTTTTGTGTGATAGAAAGTATCACTTAGACTGAAAGGAAAATTTTATAAGACAATGGTGAGACCTGCAATGTTCTATGGCGCTGAATGTTGGCCTTTAAAAGAGAAGCATAATACTAATTTAAGTGTTGCCGAGATTAGAATGATTAGGTGGATGAGTGGCTTTACACTTAGAGACAACAGGCGAAATGATTATATCCGTGATAGGTTTGGTGTAGCTTATGTGACAGACAAAATTAGAGAATCGTCTTAGATGATCTGGTCATATTGGTTTCGTCACATTAAGCGTCGACCATTTGATGATTCGATTAGGAGAGTAGATGTTCTAGATTCTATTTATGTTAAGAAAGACAGAGGTAGACCAAGAAACACTTGGGCTTATTATATAAAAAATGATCTTAATTTATTAGAACTAAATGAATATATGACACTAAATAGGATGCAATGGAGAATAAGGATTCATGTAAGGATTCATGTAGCCAACCCCAACCCCACATAGTGGGATTAAGGCTTTATTGTTGTTGTTGTTGTTGTAGGGTTCTAATTTGTTTGGTGTTTTTCTGGAGAAATTTTGGTGTTATTATGTACATATTTTGACATTATTATAGATATATTTTGGTGTTGTTTTGTACATATTTTGGTGTTATTATAGACATATTTTGGTGTTATTGTGATATCTACATTGTATCCTTGAGGACATATTTTTTTATTGTTATGAAAATATTTTGGTGTTATTCTGGGGATATTTTGGTGTTATTAAAAACATATTTTAGTGTTATTTTGAGTATATTTTGGTGTTATTATGGACACATTGATGTTATTATGGACACATTTCGATCTTATTGTGATAAATATGTTGTATCCTTAAGGACATATTTTGGTGTTATTACGGACATATTGTGGTGTTATTCTGTTGCTATTATGGTATTGGTTTGCAATTGATACTAGTGTTTATTTTGTTGTTGCATTCATGTTGAGGTACTGAAGTGGTTTTATTATGGAAATGTTTGGAGTTAATAAAATATATATTTTTTTTCATTGTCTTATTTTGTAGGTTTTTGAACCCGAAGATGTTCAACTGTATGTGAACTGTCTGTAGCAAGATTTGTTCTTGATTTGGTCAAACATACCCTATCTGAGGAAACTGTGAATACCCTGAAAGATTTGAATGTGCTTCAATTTTTCGATTTGCCTTTATATCCGCAAGATAATGTCCTAACATTGCACATCCTGCATTGGGATGTTGAACAAAGGGTATTTAGAATGGGTGGGAAGGAATTAAGTTTAAACTCCGAGCCAGTTGTAGGTTCAGTTTTTTTAGTGTGTCCGCCGCTTACATGTGGCTTACTGATAGACATGCTAATAGAGGAGAACCAGTTCACTAACAAAAAACTCCCTCATGTGGTGTATCCACGATACAAATAAAGAATGACCTAGTGAATGTTTCACCCGGAAAGTATTATATGCCATTTGATGAGTTGTTTTTAAAATTTTTGTTAACAAACTTATATCTTCCTTCAAGCAAATTTTTGCGTGCCCAAATGAGTTTACACTTGTGTTGAGAATGTACATTCTTTTTCTTTTTTTAATTGGCTAATTGTTTTTGTAAGTTTCTTATGGATCAAGTGAATGTCGTCGTCACAAAATTAAGGCGAAATCAGTCATTGCGATATATCAATGAATTTGTTTTTTTGCTCACAGTTAGTGTGATGTTTATACCATTTAAAATTTCTTTTTTTAGTCAAATCAGATTATGATATAACTTTTACACAGCTTTGATTTTATGAGCATACATCTCTAGTTAGTCCTGTTGCACCTGAGGCTAGGCCTCGCATGTTGAGGTGGCAAATAAATGTGAGCTGGAACTCATCCTTGATAAATCAAACCTTTACAGGTTTTTCTCTCATTCGATAATTTTTGACTTTTTTGGGAAATTTAGTTTATGTGTGATTATAATTATAGATCATTGCAGGTTTACAATTATTTTTTTATAATTAGAAAGACAATAAACATGTCCTGCTCGCTCCTTCAATTGAAAAACAACCAAGTCTAGTTAAAACGCCTCGATACATCACCCATGAAATTCATTCCACAACACAATCACCAATTTCATTTTGTGGTCCCTTTCATTTCATGTGATATCACTCTGCAACCAATGTCTACAGGCGTCAATAAAGGTTTCGAGGATATTATTCAATTGCTAAAAACTCAAAATTTTTTTTATGAATTTCAAGAATCAGTTAACAACAGACTGTCCGATTTACAAAATACAGACAGTTATAGAGCTCAAGAGTGAAGCTAATAAATTGGAAAAATAGAATAATGGCATTGGACAAAAATTTAATGAAGAAAGAAACATATCAATCCTTCATTTTAAACTTCTACCCGTTATTTTCAGATTCCATCACCAATATTTCTTGTCCGGCGAGAGATAGGGACTGCAAATGCTTATTATCTGACGACCGATAGTGCGAGAAATTTTAAATGAACCAAATCCTAGCGGTTAAAATCGTGAAACCCTACCCGAGGACGATGGAAGAAAATGGAGACTGATTCAGAGCGAAAGTTTTGTTTCGAAGCTATTGGCTGGTTCGGGCTGGGCATGCACCAATATATAGAACTTATTCAGTTTTTTTAGTGTGTCCGCCGCTTACATGTGGTGTCGCCCAATCCCACTGATGTTTTTTGTATAAGAAAGAAAACGTTAATAACCATGACATTCTTTCAGAGAAAAAAGGTTGATCGTCATCTGCAGAAGTTATAAATAGTTTATATATCATATACTACAATTAGAGAGCTGTCCTAAAGTACTAATTAGTTTTCCATTATGAAATGGAGGTCATAAGTTTTGAGTTATGTAAATAACCCCTTTGCAAAACTGGAAAAACATTTTCACTAGTTTTTTTTGGCTGCATGATATTTCATTTATCAGAGTATTCAAGAGCAGTTTCCATTGTTATATTTTGATTCCTTGTGCCAATTTTTTTACTTTTTACTTTCTGGTTAGGCTTTTGCTTTGAAAGTAATTGCTGAGACAAATGAGTCTTGGGCTAAATTAATCAAAAGATCAGTTCCAGCTGGAGAGCTTTCACTGGTGTGACTATTATTTGGAAATAATGTGTATGATGTATCCACTTCATATATTTGCACAATAGAAGAATCTCGTATCGATGTGTTGTACCAGTTTATTTCCGCGTAACAGTGGTGAATAATCAAAAAATAGCTATGATGCTTAACTAAAATTCTTTAGGAAAAAAATTTTTAATGCTACTCAAGGCATATAAGTCACGCGAAAGAATTAAATTCATAAATCCCTAATCACAATCACAGAAGCTTATTTTCAATAGATGTGAACTCGAGAATTCTTGAGCGGAAATAAAACACTAATTTAATAATTAATAAATGTAAACCAAACAAAATTTTCTGAGTTCACATCTAATGAAAATAAGCTTCTGTGATTAGGGTTTTATGAATTTAATTTTTTCACGTGATTTAAATGCCTTGAGTAGCATTAAAACTTTTTTACTTAAAGAATTTTTGTTTAAGCATCATAGCTATTTTTTGATTATTCACCTCTGTTACGCGGAAATTTACTGGGACACGACATAATACGAGATTCTTCTATTGTTCAAATATATGTTCTGGATACATCATACACATTATTATAATATTAATTCTGGATATATGTTCTGGATACGAAATTCAATAAAATTAATTTTAAAAATTAAGATGTTTATAACGAGAAATACCTGTTCAGATGAGTATTTGCCAAATTGCTCGAGTTCATTATGAGAAAAACTTTTCAGTGAACTTGAAGAAATAGGTTCACCCCTTAAAAAATAAAATTTTTAATATTTTAATTTGTAAATTTATCATATATCATTAATTTGTAAATTTGTAATTAAAAAGAATACTCAAAGAAAATTAAATCATTAATTTAAGACACACTTGTCTGATACTATTATTTTTCTTTTTTTTTTTTATTTTTTTTTAAGTTGGATGCGTTGGTCTTGTGTCTGAGACATGTCGGGACGTGTCATGAGCGAGTCAGTGTCCTACACTACATAATTTCTTAATCACATAAAAAAAATCATTTCATAATAATTTATTGATGGATACAATCATGCATAATATTTTTTAAGATGACATCAATTAACATGAAGCATAGAGTGTTCACCCTTACAATAAATAAATTAATAAGACACATTGGTAGACCTCTATTACGAAGGAACGTTCCCATATAAACTCAAACTTGCAATACATTTTTTGGTGGCTAAAGTAGGTTTTCAAAAGCCAAGAACATTTCCTACATAAAAATTCCAAGATAGACTACTTTGTCATAACCTTGTGTCATCCAAGAGGTAATCCTGAAGTTATAAATGTTTTACTTCAGAATGCCAATCACTTTTGACCAAAGTTGAGTATTTTATTATGAGGTGATTTTATTACTTAAAGTATATCTTGGCGGCCGTTTGATTTGTTGAAAAAGAAATACAAATTAATTGAAATGCTTTAGAATATTATAGAGCTTTTTTGGCTCAATGTAAGATAACCATAAAAGTTTATATTTTTTATGATAGTATCAAACAAAATATATATATATATATATATAAAATAGCAAACGACAAGCACTCGCTATGAGGTTGTCTATTCGCTTATTGATGCTGCCTAAGAGCTCACTAGGTTCGGTATCTGCAGGGCTTAAAACACATTAGAATAAAATAAAACACGAGGGAAGACTTGAGAACCTTTGGGAATAAGAAGTTTTTGTCAATTGAATGGAGAAGCTCCATGCAAGGCATTCTCAAATTTAGACTCTAGCGACCATTGGCAACTCATGTAATGTGAGGATTGATGCTCCTATTTTTGGTTTTTTTAAAACTTGAAGTCTAGTTTGTCTATTTATCATTGTATAAATTTCTTTACCATATAGCCCTTTTTCTTGAATTGTCAAAATAATTCGAAGAAGAGAACATAAGACAAATATAGAAAAACAAATTAAAAAGAAACATATAGAGCTATTGTAAGTAATTCTCGTGTGATATGTTAAGAATATATATGTCTGAAACGAGATTAGATCGAAACACCTTGAAACATATTATCCATGAAGAAAATCCCTACATAAACAACCCATATAATCAGAGAACCAAAATTTTATTCTTTTGTTATGGAGTCAAGAGTAACTCCCAAAGGAACCAGTTCCTATGGTTAAATACATCTTGGGGGATACCCAAGAATACCCGTTCCTATGGTTAAATACATCTTGGGGGATACCCAGGAATACTCTCGTTAATTAGAATTTCTGCTTATGCTTTTGTGATTTCTAGTGAAAGGAGTATATCCAAAGGATATGGTTATCTCAAGTAGGAACATCTCAGTGCTTCAAAGCCTTTATCGAGCCATGAGAATAGAGAGTGAATCCTCACATCCCAGACGGGTGACGACTTATCAAAAGATGAGATCTACGAAATAACCGGGCATCATGTGGGGATCATTCCACCATTTTGAGGCCGTACTGGGCCGTAATGGTAGAAGGTGAATCATCATATCCCAAATGGGTAGTAACCTATTAGCAAAATAGGGCCCGCCAGATGACATCAACCGTATATCAAGAAAATTACTGGGCTCAAAAGGGGATTTTTCAATAAAAAGGTAAAGAAGCTCTAAACAGGTGGAGATAGCTAGGTCGTGATTCCATGAATCCACCATCCTAAGCTATTGAGACCTTAAGTTTATGTGATTGTGAAGGTAGTAGACCTAACCTGACTAGATACCATTGTCAGCAATCCATGTGTTGTCTCATCCAACGAATCTTTGTAGCCCTAAAGTTATAGGAAGTAATAAGTCCTATGACCCAATATTGGTAAAATAGGTATGGATGAGACTTATTACTACCAAAGTAGATGAAAAGGAAGCCACTAGAAAGTAAAAGAAAAGAGGGGTTCAACTATAAAGCCAATACCACCTCTTAAAAGACTTACACCCCGTTTGGGTTTGGAAGCCTTTAACACCTTAGTCACTCTAGAAGCCACCTAGATAAAACTTTTATGCTTGATTAGTCAAGTTGAAGAAGCATGAGGGCTCCTCCTTAGGACATGCAGAATGATACAATTGTTTAAGCAAACCCTAATATGGAGACCCTATTAAGTATGACTTGGGCTATATTCATACCATTTTAAACCCAACCCAAAGGTCACACAAGACAGTAAAACCAATAAATAAAAATGCTCATTTTAAAATGAGATAATTTTAATCCAAAATTTTGTTAAGCTCAAAATTTTATTATTAGGCTTTTATATAAAGAACTTTTTTTTAATGTCCTTAATGATTCTAGATTACATATGTAAAGAGCATCCAATAGAAACCACAATCATAAGAAAGAGTAAAAGTCAAAACTCACATGAAAATAAACACACTATGTGAACAAATAATGAAATTGGCCGAGCACTGCTGGGTCAACAATATATCCTAAGAAAAGATAGAAAAAGGTGACCAGGCCTCGCATATACATGCTTGATCCAAATTTTATACATAAATGGAAGCTCAGAATTAAGATAACAGACACGAGCAAATGCTCTTGATCATTGTCTTGAAACTTGGGCCCGTACCTTATTTTCGATACTGATATGTCCTAAGGAATGTAATCAGGTACTTATAAAGTCTAAACAAAGACTCAATCTACAGAAAAGAGGGATTAGTGCAAGTATATCTTCATGCAATGTAATGAGCCATGCCTTGCAAGTGGGGAGTTTAGCAGTGTCAGCTAAAATCATTACAGCTTCTCCCTTTTGGGAATTAATCCCTTCACAAAATTTCCCTAATCTACTAATGTACATTCTTAAACTTAGTAGACACATAAAGACATCAAATAAAATGCATGGCTTAGCACAAACCATCAGTTATAGTCAGAAATAAGAAATCCTAGCTACACACAACCCCATTCTAGAAAAAAAATTAGAACAAGGACTCCCACACATTCATGTAAGTGTGTGCAAAAGTGTGGCTAAGGCTCGTGTATGACTTTAGTGAGGTTGCCATCCTCGAACCCATCTTGAGGGTCCAAAACTTCTAATACACTCATCTAGAAAGACAAATTTTAAAGTAAAAGAAATCTTTTGAAAAGCGGACCTTATGTTCTAGGCTATAGATGCATTAGTTTTAAAATAAGTTTTAAAAAATGATGTGAAATATTAACCCAAAAATTTACTTTTTATATTTTTGAAATAGTAGCGAGGAAATAATGCTTAAGGGGCACATATTAGACCTCATGGAACCTTAGTACAATCATACATGTGTTAATCCTAATGTAATAACTCGCATTGCACGTTCAGATATGCTCACGAGAAATGCTTATCAATACATCACGATCATCATATGTTCATTAATTTATTGTAGAAGATTTGCCATCAAGGCTGATTAGGCTATGATCTTGTAAAAACATAAAGTGATCAGGTGTATATTGATTGCTCTATCGAGGTGTGAGTGATCACATGTGATACACCAGATTTTTAGACATGACATGATCTCTCTATTGAGGTGTGAGCAATCACATTTAATATCAAACGATAGTTTAGACTATCAATGTGCTAAGCAACCATTAATAATGAACATATAGTGACACTTGTTCATGATGAAAGTGCTACGCATGCAAATACAAGTGCAATACATATCACACTCACTTGCACAAGTGATATCGAGTTTGACTAC